ACTTCTTCCCAGCGGGAATTCTCAAAGCTGTGGGTGCTGCCCCTGGGAGCGTCAGAGGAAGGGTCCCCAGCACCACTGCCAATGCTGCGGGGGGGCTGGGCTCTTGCAGGGACCCCCGACTCACTTCAGACCCTTTCCTCCACAGCCTGTGGCCCCTCAGCTGCGCCGGGCAGCGAGCTCCCTGCCCACACCTGCACCATCTACCGGCCCTGGTTCTCGCCCTACAGCTACTTCATGTGCACCAAAGGAGCCACCCAGCAGCACCTGGGCAGCCTCTCCTCCAGCCTGGCTGCCAGCAACTGGGAGCCTGAGGAGCCTGATGACCTCTCGGAGATCGTCTGCTCCTCCTCTGGCTCCTTGGACCAGTCCCCCAAAAGGGACAGGCCGGCCAGTGGCGGAGCCAGCATCACGGTCCGGGACATCCTCACCGCTTCCCAGCAGCAGCCAGTGCCCCAGCGTGGCTACCAGTGCATGTCATGCTGCCGCATCTTCCCCACGCTGTGGTCGGTCAAGACCCACATCCAGCACAGCTCCCAGGAGGGCTACAGCTGCAAGGTGTACTACCGCAGGCTCAAGGCCCTGTGGGAGAAGGAGCGCAAGGAGCAGGAGGCTGCAGCCTCCAGGGCACCCTTGTAGCCCTGCCAGCCAGGCAGCCGCCGCGGGAGGGCACTGCTCCATCGCTCCTGCCAGCAGCAGAATAAATTGTTTTACAAGCAGCCGGCCCTGTCAGCCTGCTGCTCTTGCCTACACAACAGTTCCCCCATCCTTTAAGAGAGGCTCTTCCCGACTTTTCCTTCCCCAGCAACCAAAAATCTCCCGAGCCCCTGAAAGCGCCACTTAGCACCTCCGCATCTCCGTGGTGCACTCTGCAGATGCTGGGAACCCCCCGGCACCCTTGAGCTGTCAGGTCAGCCCCGAGACGAGCCTGTGCTGTGCACTGGCTGAAGGGGAAGGCTGAAACCCCTCTACCCTCAGCAACATTCGGGGCACCTCGCTTTCATGGGTGGCCCGTGGCTGGCACCGCAAGCAAGGGTCCCGCAGGGGATGATGCTTAGGTTGGAGGGGGTCTATGCAAGGCCAAGGGATGTCACTGTCAGTGCTGGCTCCCAGCATGGAGGGGGAGAGAAGTACAGGAAGAGAGAGAGTCAGCGAGAAGGAAGAGACAACAGAAAGCCTTGAGAAATAGAAAGATTTATTTAGCAAAAGCCAGTCGACCAATGACAACACCCAAGGGTTAAGTGCACTTACATTGACAGATTGGTTTCCCAGATAGATTGAGTCAACAGTTAGTAACACCACAGTTGTAGGAAAAGAAAGGACAAAAAATATAGCTATAAATTCCCAGTCAAGGTCCATAACAAAAGTGAGAGGCTAGAGAGGCATCTTGGAGGCAGCACTGAGTTAGGAGGATCATTTACACATGTACACTTGTGGTGTGGCAGGATGCTGGCAGGGTCCCACCTGGCTCTGGCAGCACCCCCTCAGCCCGTGGAGCACCCACCACCGTCCCCTGCAGGCAGAGTGCCGGGCAGGAGCCCGAGCCCGCAGCTGGTCCCGACAGCTCCTTGCAGGGCACCGCCTGGGCTGCGTGTGTGCAGCAGGGACAGGCAGGAGCAGTGGCCTGGGGAGGTGGCTCAGCCCTGCCTGCTTTCTGAGGCAGCCCAGCCTGGAAGAGACCTCCTGCCTGCAGCTCCTGCCTCCTCTCAGGCTCTCCCTTCGTCTCCCCTGCACGTATGGCCGAGCTCCTGCTGTCCCCGCTCCTGCGTGATCTGTCTCCCCACATGGAAATCCCTCTCCAAGCTCACCCACGCATCCCTACCCTGCCTGCGCCTCCGGTGCGTGCTGCTATCCCCACTGCTCCCTCCTGGTGGGACCAGCCTCCCACCCCATGCTTTCACCTCCAACTGCTGCAAGCTGGCAGTGGGATGTCAGGGTCCCCAGCAGAGGGGCTGGCACACAGCTGTGCCCACAGCAGTGCAGGACAGGGCATACAGAAGTATTGGTGGCCAGAGGACAGGAGCACCCGGGTCCCAGCCAGCACCTGCTCCCACTCTGCTCCCTCTGTGGCTGGTGCAGGGGCTCTTCTGGATACCAGGCCACTGCTGGGGACCCCGACACATGGCCTTCCTTCCCACTGGGACTCTGCAGCTCCTCACAGTGTCCAGCCTCCTCCTGTGGTGGAGGGTGCATAGCACAGCTCGTACTGACCCCGGGGGTCTCACCTCAGCAGCCCTCAGTCCCAAGGGGACCGGGGCAGAATGAAGCGATGGACCTTCCTCAGCAGGAGGGCTAAGCCCTGGAGGAAAGCAAGAGCCCGTGCCTGGGAGATGCTCAGCTAGGGGTTAGGTACAGGCAGATCTAGCAGAGACAGAGCTGGTGAGGGCAAGAGCAGAGGGAAGCAACAAAGCAAAGCAGAAGCAGGATAGGAGGGTGGATGGGAAGACAACTGTGCCAATCCCCACCTTGCCGAGTGTTTCCACAAGGAGCAGGGGAGACATCAGGACTCTGGCTCACACCCCTTCAGCCATGGCCTCTTAGAGGCTGCAGCAACAGGCAGCTGATAAATGTGCTTGCAGAAAAGAGACAAGCTCTGGATCCCTTGGAGGCTCCCACAGATGCCTCAGCCATGGGCATCTCAGTGACTTGTGGGGGATCCTGAGATCTTGGATTCACTTTTCTGGAGGGTGCAAACCAGAGATGTGAAGGAACCCACCTGCAGACACGAGCAGTTTGCTCCCCATCAAGGGGCAGCAAGCGCACCCGTCCTTGCACACGGCCAATGCCAGCACTGCATCCCCCAGCCCTGGTCTGGGGGCAAGCAACTGTTCGGAAATGGGAGGGTTTGTCTATAAAGCAAAGCAGGGAGTTTGTGGTGATGGTGGGTCTGCTTGAAAACGTGACTTGAGAGCACCGGAAAGGCTTGAAACCTGGCAGCCATGCCGAGGAGCCCAAGGACCAGGCAATGAGGGAAGGATACCTCACAGCCCTGTGCTGTGTGCCCTGGCTCCCTGCTCCTCACTGAGCCGTGCCTTCCTCTCCACTCCACACCCTAGGAGAGGAGTGGGCAGTGCCCGCGCACCCTCCACCTGCTTCAGGCAGGGACAAACCCTGCCCTGGAAGTGCCACGAACACCAGCACACTGCCAAGAGCTGCCTGCGCCCAGCCACCCTGTGCGACCTCGTCTCACCCCTTCAACTCCTTCCCAGGCTTGTCCCCACTGTCCGTCCTTCTGCTGTCTCACCTCTCACTCGCACACCCACCCCAACAGTGCACCACCAACAACCCTCACCACCCCACTAGCACAGCCCTGGCCTCATCTCCCACCCTCTCCACCACACAGAGAGCCAGATCCCCTGCCAGTGGCTCTGTCCCTGCTCATTGCCCCATGCTGGCTCCTCAGTTGCTCTTGTCCCCACTCACTGCCCCATGCCTGCTCTCTCATTCCCCCAGCAAAAATCTTCACCTGCTTTACTGCTCCCCCCTGCAGCAGCACCAGCAGCAGTGGCTAATCAGGCAGGCAGTCCTTTGCCTCTGCCTGACCTCAAAACACAGCTTGCAGGGGGATGGGGACCAGGGGGTAACACAAGCAGCTGTCAGCTCGCCATCCGATGCGAAGCGGGGACACTCCAGCTCAGCACACAGGCCCATGCATGCTGGAGCACAGCATGCCCAGCGCACCCCCTCGGCACGGCTCCGTCCTCACCTCTGTACGCCTCCCAGCTGTGTGCTGGAAGCCTTGCGCTCCCTCCTCCGCCCTCTCTCTCTCTGGGCTGTCCTGTCCCTGCCAGGGCCAGGGGGCTACGGCCAGGGCCCAACCCAGCTCCAGCGGGTCCCAGCTGCTCCACACCACCTCCTGCCGACCCCTACACCGCGATCTCATCCTCCAGGCTGTCACCCAGGTCCTGCCTGGGCTGGACGTGGAGCAGGTGCGGCGGTTCCTCCTGGGACCAGGAGTCACGCTCCTCGCTCTCGTCCGTGTTGGACTCGTACTCGGAGGCAATGCCCGACTCGCGGAACTTGATGAGCTCCAGGCTGCCCAGCGCCGGCTCTGGGGCGGGCGGCCCCGAGTCCGGCAGAAAGCGGTAACACTCCAGCTTCACCAGACAGTCGTTCCTACCTATGGGGCTGCCCAGGGCGCTGGGGAAGCCTGAGCTGGGGCCCAGTGGTGGCGGGTGGGTGTCCTCGGGCTGCGGGGTGGTCGGGTCGCAGAGGACAGGGAGGACGTTGGAGCGGAATGTGATCTCCAGCAGACTGTCCTGGGAGCCTGCTGCAAGAGAAGGGCACGGCTGAGAGGCAGACACGGCCACCCCGGCTTGCCTGGGCATCCCCCGACCACCATGGCTGCCTGCAGACTGGCCAGAGGAGGACAATCTGGGGCCATTTGGGTGTCAACCTCCCCAACACCACCGTTTAGAGGGGGTTACTTGGTGCCACTGGTGCCAGAAGCTGCTGCTGGCCAGCAAAGTGCCGGTTTTGCAGGATAAAAAGTTATGTCTCCCACCCCAACTACTTTGGGGAGCTGATGGCCACGTCTGCTGGAAAGGAAGGTCAAGGATGGGCTCTTGGGCAGGTAAGGAGCTGGCCTAGACCATGCAGCCACTGGGGAAAGCGGACATACAGCTGATAGATGTACGTGACTGCCTGTCCATACAGCCCTCCCCATGCCCCCTCCCACACTGCATGCAAGCACCCTGCCACACACGCGCAAGCCAGGCCAGAAGGGCACTAATATTCCCCTGTACAAAACCACTGGAAATGCACAAAAACTTCATGAGAAACACCCACACACGTCTTCCACAGACCCGGCTAGCTACGAGGGGAGAGGAAGGGGCAGGAGTGCTTACTAGTGGTGTTCCCCGCCAGCTTCAGCTCCAGCTCCTGCACCTGTTTGACCAGGAGCGAGATGTGCTGCAGCAAGTCCTTGTTCTGGAGCAGGAGCTGGTGCACACGAGCCTGGGCCTCCAGCCGCGCCGCCGCCTCCGCGGCCAGCTGGTCCTTCAGCAAGTGGACCTGTGTGACAGGAGAGAGTGGGTGAGCGTGTGGGAGATGCTGCTCGAGGGCTGAGAGCTTCAACTCCAGCTAACTCTGCTCCTCTACCAGGGCTCACCAGCATCCCACCAAATGACTTGATGAAGCCATTCCCTGCGGGTACCCACAGACATGATGAGGAGAGTGAGGGCAGGCAGCAGTGTCACACCAGGGCACGCTCAGCAAATCCAGCACATGGTCTCTGGTCTCTCTAATGGAAAAGCCCGAGGCAAAGTGAGGCAGTGCTGACCAAACTGTCAGTCACGCACATGTGCCATGAATGCATGAGGAAAGGGCAGACCAGGAGGAAGCCAGATGGATGCGGAAGAGAAGACACGCTCGAATGACTGGATGGTGCTGTGGGTACACGAGGGTGCAGCCAGGCACTGCGAGCCAGCCCTCGCTGAGCTGTCTTTCCGGGCAGGTTTCCCAGAGACAGTGTCTTGCACAAGGCAGGGTCCTGCCAGCGGCATCTGTCACTAGCAGGGGCTGAAGCATCAGAGCTGCCCCGAAGCTGCAGGCGGCTCCGGCTGCGACAGGCACGACACGCCTGGAGCAACACAGATGGCAGAGCGCTGCTGAGACACGGTGGCTCTGGGCACACCTGCTGGCTGCTCATTCTGGCCCTGGGAAGCAATGCCTGGACATTAGCCGGTGGGAGTCTATGAGCAAGAAGTCCATTGATTTTGGCATAACTACCCATACGCAAGCATCTGTATCACCAGCACCGTGTCCCAGAGAGGGTGGGATGCTGCTGGGTGAGTCCCAGGGGCAGCAGGGGCAGTTCTCTGCTCTGAGCTGGAGCAAGGAGAGCCCCAGGAGCGTACTCCAGACAAGGCGACAGCCGTGCAGAGCCACCCGGGAGGCACACTGGCTCAGCATCCCCTTCTGCCACCCACCCATGGCTCCTACAAGTGCTCCTCTCTCCAGCAAGGACTGAGCCAGCCAGGCTCACGAGGAACCAGGAAAGCATGGATTTAATGCAAAAAAAAAAAACCAACCCAAAACAAAAAAAAACAAACCAAAATGAAACAAAGAAAAAACCACCAAAAAAACCAAAACCAAAAAACAACAAAAAAGGCAGTTTTACCTTGGCCTATGTCTGGTTTCGACTGGGATAGAGTTAATTTTCTTCCTAGTAGCTGGCATAGTGCTGTGTTTTGGATGTGGTATGAGAATAATGCTGATAACACCCTGATGTTTTAGTTGTTGCTAAGTAGTGCTTACACGAGTCAAGGACTTTCCAGCTTCCCATGCTCTGCCAGGTGCACAAGGAGCTGGGAAGGAGCACGGCCAGGACAGCTGACCCAGACCGGCCAAAGGGATATTCCATACCATATGACGTCATGCCCAGTATGTAAGCTGGGGGAGCTGGCCGGGGGGCAGCAATTGCTGTTCGGGGACAGGCTGGGCATTGGTCAGTGGGTGGTGAGCAACTGCCTTGTGCATCACTTCTTTTGTATATTCTTTTATCATCATTATTATTTTCTCTTCCTTTGCTGTCCTATTAAACTGTCTTTATCTCAACCCACGGGTTTTACTTTTTTTTTCCCCCAATTTTCTGCCCCATCCCACTGTGGGGGAGAGGGTGAGCCAGCGGCTGTGTGGTGCTTAGTTGCCGACTGGGATTAAACCATTGCAGCCTAGAAAGTGACCTTGGGGAAGCGGGAGGGAGCTTTCCGTAACTTGCCAAACCCAGGAGCTGCTACTGCAGCTGCAGGGCCCCAAAAGCAGCACAGCTGGGGACCACTTGCCCTCCTGGATGGGTACCAGGAGGCAGCGCCGGGTCGTGTGCTGCCTGATTGCAGCCAGCAAGGTGGCAGGGCAGTGCCCTCGGCGGGGCAGAGTTGAAGCACAGCGAGCTTGGGGGGTGGCAGGAGGCCAGGCAAGGGGCTGGGACTTGCTTTGCCACTGCTGCGGGAAGCCAGAGAGCCAGAGTCACCTCCTGCTCCTCCTGCCAGCGGCAGGAGAGTGGGGCACAGCAGCACGGTGGGACGAGGGCCCTCTGCTGAACAATGGCGGGTGAAGCGGAGACCCCGAGCCAAGCTAGCAGAGGTGGAATTAAACGCTAAGGGGGTGCCAAAGCTCAGTGCTGGCAGTGTCAGCCTGGAAGTCATCCTTCCTTGCAGCCGGATAGCTGCCTCCATCACAGATGCCTGCAGCAGGGCCCAGGTGATGCTGGGAGAAGATGCAAGCAGAGCCCAAAGGTCACATCTTGCTGAGGGGCAGTGGCTCGTGCCACCAGCCCCCTGGGGACAACACCCAGGAAGGACTCCTGGCCTTGATTCAAGAAAAGGAACTTTCCCAGGTATCTGGAAACGCCTTGCAAAAGCAAGTCTCTGGTCAACAAGGGAACTAAATTCATCCTCAGCCAAGTAATTAGAGGCCAAGATAATTACAGGATGGTCCCTGAAGCTATTGACCGAGCACAGATCCTGGGCAACACAGTGGATCTCCTGGCTTTGTTAGTAAAGAATTAAGCCTGGGCCCATCACCATGTGTTCAGAGACAAACTGACTCAGTACTTTTTGAGAGAAGATAACAAGTGCCATTGACAGAGGTGTTGATGTAATGCATTCAGTCATCTGAAAGGTATTTGACATGATAGGGCCCAACTTTTTCATTAATAAAGTACAACGAGACCAAATCACTACAGTGCATGCTGAAGGGATTAGAGAGCAGCTAAGTGACAGCTCCTGGGACAAGAACCATCCCGTGGTGGGCAGAGGTCCAGGGCAGGGTGTCAGCCCTTGGACAGAGGGGGATGAGGCTACTGGATGCCACCTCATGAGACAGTCAAGAAATGGCGTTACACTATTTCAGATATTTTTTTATCTGGAAGTAGGAAGAAAAAGAAATTGCCACTGCAAGGCTCTGCAGGTACACAGACTGGGAACTACTGAAGGTGAGCAGTCCCTTCCACAGAGGGACACTGGCAAGCTTTGCTTGTAGCAACACTATACTTGGGCAGACATAAAGGATCCCCTGAGGATGCAGGTCTCTCTTCCAGAGGGAAAAGCAGGTTCCCAAGTCCGTGACCCCAGAAGGCATGCAGGCTCTTGGGGCAGCAGCACAGCCAGAAGGACGAATACTGATTTTCTGATGCATGAAGAGGAAAGCCACAGGAAAGTACAGAAAGGCTGCTGGAGCCGATCGCTCAGGCCAGGAAGGAAGTCAAGCAATTGCAGTGAGCTCTGGGAAGGCTCAGGGAACAAGTAAAGCTAAGGTAATGAGTTGGATAAAGTGGCCAGAGCTGCTTAAATGAGAAATACCTGCATGGAGAACGAGTTGGCAGGGGCAAATGCTGAGGCCAGGCATTTGCAAGAACACAGGGTCCAAGGGACCAAGAAAACCGGTGGCATGCAGACATAACGCTAATCCATCAGGGCTTAACGGAGCCATTGCTGGGAGCAAGGGCACAGTGAACCATGCCGGGGACACACTGTGCCACGGAGGATAGAGGACACCGCCCGGCCCGCTCCCACGCCCTGGTGTCGGGGTCCGCCCTGGCTCAGGTCGGGTCCTCACCCGCACCTGCCCTGCTCCAGGCAGGGGTTGCCCCGGCACCGAGGGGCTCAGTATCGCACCCCAGCCCTGCCACTGCCCCCAGGAAAGAGCAGAGGGGAGAACCTGTGCCACAGCCACTTGTGTCTGCTGCTGCTGCTGCTGCAGGAGCTGCTGGAGAAGCTGCATTTGGTGGTGGGCAGAGAGGGGTGTTCCCAGGTCAGGCAGTTGGGCAGACGAGGGCAGCAGCATCTTGGGCGACGCTGTCAGGATATCTTCAGGGTGGAGGCAGCCCTGCAAAACACCAGCATCAGAAGTGTGATGATGTGCCCCCTCGTCATGGAGAACTGCCAGGCACACATGGGCTGTGGCACAGAGCAGCCCCTCAAATACCCAGGAAAGAAGCTGCTGCACTCAAAGCAAACACACGCTTTGCTGGGGGTGCTGAAAAACTTCAAGACTGTGCTTTTTCAGTTTTGACAAAAGCCCAAATACTTTTGTAGAAAATTCCTGAAAAGGCTGACGAATTTTCACTGTATCAAAAATGTCTTTTTTTTTTTGTTTTTAGTGGAAAAAAATCCCTATCAGCTTTGCCCCAGACATGCTTTCTGTGTGGCTGCACAAAGCTGAGCCTCGGCACAGCACTCTCCAGGAGCACCCCGGGCCCCGAGCCAAAGGGCAGCCCTGTGGTGGCAGATGGCTTTGATCCAGGAGCCGGGGAATGCTGCACAATCCCTCCTGATTCCCAGGCCCCCAGGATGCACATCAGAGCTGCAGGGCCAGGACTGTGCTGTGCCCTGAACGCGGAGAGCAGGGACCCACGCACCTTGGCATCGGCATAGGCGCTTGCCTCCTTGCCCACGGCATCGAGGTCGGTCACGCCGCGGCTGAAGTCCAGGATGTCGGCTCCGGGCAGCGGCAGCTCCACGGCATCAATGTCCGTCTCCTCTGCCGAGGCGGCTGCCCTCTCCACACCAGCGAGGCGGCAGGCTGCAGGAGCAGCATCAGAGCAGAGCACAGCCCGCTTGGAGCTGGAGCTTGCTACGATGCACCCACGGTACAGCGAATGATGCCCACTGGTCCCCACCACCCCCATGCCACCCACCCTCCAGCGCCAGGGGGGAAGCAGGTAGAGAGTGACATGGCTGTGCTTCCTGATGCCGCCCGGGACAGTGCTTGCATCTGAAAACACACCCAGCCCCAGCATGCCAAACCTGGGGAACAGCAGCCAAAACCCCTGATGTGGGAGAAACGAGCCATCGAGAGCAGAAGACACAGAGAAAGCTAAAGAAAGGTAAACAAGAGATTATGGGGAAAAAAACCTCAGATGCTCAGAAATCCCCAGGGAACTGCATATCGTGGCCGGGACATTGTGCAAAGGAAAAACAAACAATGACCAGTCCAGGACAGCTCAATGCTTAGGTCATCACGACAGCGCTAGTCGCAGAGGCGGGCAGGAAACCACGGCACAGCCCAGGCGGCCCCTGATGGGATGAGGGGGATCTAGCACCCAGCACGGGGCAGGCAGCCCACACACGGACAGGCAGCAGGACCCGCCAGCATCCCAACGGGCACTGGAGGTGTTTGACCAACCTCTTGCAAAACATCTGTCTCCCTTCCAGCGCAGCTGCCGGCACCAAGGAGCACAGCAGCTCCCCAGGGCCCCGCAGAGCCTGGAGCAACGCCAGGAGCATCCCTGCACCCTCCGCCCACAGGGCTGAGGAGGGAGGGGGAGACCATGGGCTGCCTGCAGCTGTGGGAGCTTGATCCAAGAACCTGAGCACGGCTTTGTACACGCAGGGAACTGTGGAGGTGGCGATGGACCATGATCTGGGTCCATGGCAGAGAGCCAGACCCAGCCCCGCAAGCGCCTCGGGATGCAGGGAAGGTTTGTGCTTAGGGCCTCTTCTGTGCAAGCAGCGAGGAAATGTTTGCAGCGTGTGCAGCAGAGCACGGAGAGTATTTAGGTGCCCAGCAGAGTCCTGGGCGCTGCTAATGGGCTCCCAGCAAGGGGGATGTCTGCGAGGATGATGGCTAACACCTAGTGAAGGCTCCTTGCTGGGCAAGATCCCAGCTTGAGCCCAAGGCGCCACAGGCCAGACTGCTGTGCAAATCCATTCCCCACAGGTGCCAGCCAGCAAGAAGCAGTGTGGAAAGACAGTGACCCTGCAGACCGTGTCTGCCAGGCTCTGGGACGCCCACGCCGCCCCTGCCTCCGCCCTCACAGAGTACCTGGGACGTCCAGGTCATCCCCGTTCCTCTCACTGTCTCCATCCTCCTGCCCGTCTGCATTCTGCTGGGTGTGCTGCAGGCTCAGCTTGTGGCAGACCTCGAATGCCTGCCCCACAGTCCGGACAATGCGCATGGCTTGGCTCTGTGGCAGGCAAGGAGAAGAGGAGCGTAACCTTAGCTGCCCCTGCATGGTGCCCTCCCCAGCCCGGCACAGCTCTCAGGGGTCTCTGTGCACTGCTGCAGGGACTGAGCACAGCTGCAGGCACCAGAGCTCAAACCATGGCAGTGCTCGGGGCTGCCTGCTGCAGTGCAGTGCCACGGGGTCCTGCTCCAGCTGCCCCTCCGAGACCCCTGATGGCAGGATGAGCATCCCAACACCTTTACCTTCTTCTTGGATTTGAAGACGTTGCACCTGAAGACATTGCTAGACCCATCCCTGGCAATGTAGCTGAAGATCTTTAGGTCCTGGGAGTCGTGCGACACATAGAATATCCTGCAAGGACAGAAAGGAGGGGAGGATATCAGCATACGTATTACCCACATGCCCAGTGGAGACTGCCAAGGCCACAGCCAGCGCTTCCCAGGGCACGGGGTGCTGGCAGTTGCCCAGCCTCTGCAGCATGTCCCTGCTAAAGCCCATCAGAAATTTTTTTGGCAGTGGTTTTGCTTCAGCTGGGAAAATTAGCCTGCTGACTCAGCAGCAGCAAGCATTTTGCAAAGGCAGCACGGGCCTTTCGCTGTTCATCCCCCAGGGACAGAGCCAGTGGCCCAGGAGCCCCCCAGAGACCGAGGAGAACAAACCTCACTCCTCTGCCTTGCCCGTTCGGAGAGCTGGCCACCTTGCTCAGGCACCTGCCCCAGCCAGCACACTGCCCGCCCCCTCCCTGGTATGGCTGTGGCCCCTCCTCGCTCCCATTCAGCTTCCCCGGGACATGGATGCCCCATGCTCTTAGCTTCTGGCAGCAAGATGGAAGAAAAGAGCTGGGGATTTTTGGAGAGTACAGCAAGTGAGGGGAGCTGCCTGCTGTGGGGATGGCGGTGGCGGCTCTCTGTGGTCAGTCCCCAGCACGGTGCCGGTGTGGTGTAGGGTGACACGGTAGAGCCACGCAAGCCTCCGTCCCTTCAGCGGGCCAGCTTACCTGTAGATGGGATCGTGCATGACGAGCATTTTGTTCTCGTCCCAGGCCCATTCTTTTTTCTGCAACAAAAGAAGCTGAAAATGAGTACGTCAGATGCTGCCCTTAAGATCAATAACAGGGCAGACAGTCCAGGGACACACCTGGGAAGCGCTTGTCACAGCTCTGCTGCTGCTCCCCTGCAAGCCTTTGCCAAGGGCGAGATCCTTCTGGGGCTGGCGTTGTCCCACACCACCTTCCACAGGGACCCTCAAGGACCTTCTACACCCAGATAAGGACTGGCTCTGCCATCCTTCAGGAACACGGCTCATCCGTGGCTGGTCCCAGCCCATCCCTCCCTCTCCCAGCCCACCAGAGTCTCCCAGAAATTCAAGGACCCTGCATGTCCCTGCACCATGAGGAGAGGGCTCCCACTGCCCAGGCACTGCTGCCGCAGGGACCGGTGCTGCCTACCTTCTTCTTCTTCTTCAGAATGACCTTCACACCATCCACTGACACAATGAGACTCACTTTCTTCTTCTTGATGTTCTTGGCTTTAAACTCGTACTGCAGGGGACAGAAGAAAACACCTGAATTAGCTTTCCTGTGCCAGGAAAGCCCCACGAAGGGCTGAAGAGGCTCCGATGGGAAGGGGTGAGAGGGGCAAGGAAAGATTTCACCAACCCCCCTTGCCTCCCCAAACACAAGCACATACCCACATCAGCCTGCGCATCCATGCCAGGACAGGACAGGGCGCCTTTTTGCCCAGCAGTATCCCCATGCCCAGCATCCAGAGGAGCACACCCCGAAGCAAAGGATGGGGATAACGCTTTGCTCAGCCCAGGATGCTGCTGGGAATGTTAACTTGTGTTTCAAAGGCACCCGCTCTGCCCCTCTGAAGGGCCGTACCTCCCTGGAGAGGGACCGCCACCTCCCCAGCCCTGCCAAGTCCCCAGGGCTCCACAGCCTGGCTGGGTTTGCCCCGCTGGCCTGTGGCCATTGCTGAGCTCTGGTAAGAGAAACCTCATTTCGAGTGGGGTTTTGTAGGGGCTCGGTATAAAACTGAACATGATTGCTGAGGACCCTGTGAACCTCTCCAGGGGAGATGGGATAATGCAATTACCCACTTTGATCAGAAGTCACTGGACAGGAAAAAAAAACAACAGGAACTTTGAAAGATCAGTGACTAAACACAAAGCTCTGGCCCAGCCCCAGGGAGAGAACGAGATTCCCAAAATCCAGCCACTTTTGCATTTAGAGTCTTGCAAGCGGGGAGGGGGCTGGCAGGGGAATAGGCTAGATAAGCCATTTAGGCTGAGCAGCCTCCTGCTATGGGACTTTTGGGGAGTCCCATAACCTGTCTACCATGAGTGCACCCACATCAGGTACCTGGTGTGCTGGTCTCACACGGAGGGTGCTGTCCACAGCCACGGGGACAAACCCAGAAAAGCCCCTCATCCTGCACCTCACATGCCCAAGGAAGAGGAATTTAATTAATTCTCTCATTATTTCGCCAGTCTCTCTGCAGAGGGAGCACAGGGCAGGCATCCCGATGCAAAGCCCTGCCTCCGGTCTGCGCCGAGCCTCTGTGTGACATTTCCAGCACTGCATGATGTATTCACTTTGGCAGCCAGAGCCAGCGGGCAGGAAAAGCTGCTGGCCCTGACCTGCGATCGAATGATAAAAGACCTGAAAATACAATTCCTCAAAGCCATTTTAAAGTTGCTGATGGGGATGGGAGATACAGATGACTCAGAAAACAGCTGGGGGAATGCAGTTCTGCCTTCCCCAGTGCACAGACCAGGCAAGCTGTGCAAGCCCACCCGCTCCGGGGCTGAAGCCATGGTGATGGGCTGGAGAAAGCAGAGCTCAGGCTCCCACCATAGCTACAGCCAGCCTCAAAATCCCCAGCTTGCAGGGCTTATTCCTCATTGAGAAGGATCTCACCAGAGTCCCTCAACCAAAGAGCCCACCGGGGTGGGTTTCCAAGTCCCATCTCTCATATTCCCCTTCCCTGCCACTACAAGCAGAGGTGAAACTGCATCCAAGAGCCCCCTCTCTGTGCCTTGTTAAGACATCAGACCAGTACTGAGATCACAGCAGTGTGTCTGGTACCTAACACTAAAGAAATGCCTTGATTTAGCCCTGAAAAGATGAGCTCCAGCCCAGCTACCTTGGAGTAATTAAGCCAGCACCTTCTGAAGCTCTGCATGTGATTTTTCCAGGAGCCACGGGCTGAGCTGGATGCTCTCCGCAGCACCCAGAGTGACTGCACGGCACCTTGTGGAGCTACAGCCTGATTTATTGGTCCTAACGATCATTGATTATAAACATCAAGTTGCATTTCCGAGCTGCTGGAGCCGTGGGGCTTCTATTCTGGGCCATCCCAAGTGCTAATGAATGTGGGCTTGGAAGAGACAGCAACCCTGAAAAATATCTCGGGGTTAGAGAGACTATTTTTAGCGTGGTTTTCAGGTGAGTAACAGCCCCAAGACAGCAATGCAGACCGGCCAGGATGTTTCAGCAAAGATGCTACCCAGCCCCGGCATATGTTTCAGGGACAGAATCAACACAGAGCTCCTCCAAGAGGCTTCCACAATCCCTGGCTGCAGGCAAGGGATTCTGCCCGGGCTCGCCCCGAGCCTGGCAGAGGGGAGTGCCATTGAGAAAGTTGTTTTGCCTCTGCTACGCTGAAGCCAAAGTCCCCTTGCGCTGACGGCTCACGGCAAAACTCCAGGAACCGACGGGAGCAAAGAAGTCAAATTCTCAGAAGGGTCAACCGGCCAGATTTGTTAAGCCTTTGCATAAATCCAGGCCTTTATCCCGACGCTGAGGCGAGAGCCAAGCCCCTTTGCAAGCCCAAGCCATGTGCTTAGAGAGCTATTGCACATCCTGCCCCAACCAGAGCTCGTTAGCGCAATCACTCCAACTGGTGCAGATGCTCTTTGGGATACATTTCCCATGCAACGAAGCGCAGCTCTAATCAATAAAACGCTAATGAACTCATGCCCACTGGGGCTCTAATGAAACACTAACTGTAATTTAATAACAAATTAGCGAGGAAGAGGATTCAATAAAATGGCAGTGCAGCCAAGCCGTCTCTCACATCCCTGGGCTGCATGGGGCAGGCACGCTGAGTCCCAAAGGCCAGGAGATGCATTCCTGATTTTTGCAGACTTTCAAATTTGAGTTTGGCCAAATAGGTGCAGAAGGGAGGAAAAGCACCCAGGAGAGAGGGGCAGCAGACCAAACCGAGAGGGAGAATAGACTGCTCTGCAGAGCCCAGCACACCCTTCGTGTGCTGCCAGACCCCTGCTTACAGCCGCAGCATGCAATTTGCTCTGCCTTGTTCACAAGGCTAATTCAGCAAACCAGAGGGATTTCACCCCAAGCAGTAGCTCTGGCTAGGGTCAAAGCAAGCACCAGGTTTGCGCAGTTCCTCTAAGTGAGATTTGAGCCACGGAGACCGTAAGGGATGAACCCAAAACCGTACAGGGCAGAATCTGTGCTCAGACCTGCCAGCTCATGGTGCAGCAGTTCACATTAGCAGTGACAGCAGCTGCCGCAACCAGCCCCACTCAGTGCCCTGCCATGCCGGGATGCTGCTCGCTGGCTACCGCAGGAGAAAGGCACATCTCACCACAAGTCCTTGCACACCCCAGCAAGCCCCTGCAGCTCCCAGGAAGGCAGGGGCTGATGGTCGCGGTCAGCCCGAGGCACCAGGTGAGACACCAGCCCAGGAGCAGTATTTGGGGCTGGGCTGGGTGGCCTGTGCGCACCCTGGCTCTCCCCAGCACGGGAGGAGTAGCTGGCCCTATGCTGCCTCCTTGGACTTCTCCAAAGCAATGGTAAATCCTTTCCATTGGCAGACTACAGATGCCAGTATGGACTTTTTGTTCCTGAAGACTGCTGGACGTCTCAGTCTCACCAACGTGCTGCATGTCAACAGGACCTGCCCTTGCTAATGCCTGCCCTGCAAGCCTGTTTACTAACGGGAATGGGAAACCTCTCTCTGTATGACTGATCAGGACCTCCCTGGCTTGGAGTTATTGTTAATAACTCTTGGAGTTATTTTTCAGTTATTCTCTATCTGCCCTGGGCACAGAGATCTCCTGGGTCTGCTCGCATTTGTCAACATCCCTCCTTCTGCGGTGAAACAGAGAGAGAAAGCTTAAGAGGGATGCAAAGCATTAGGTGTTTAGCTTTCCCTGTGGCTGGGAGGAGAGCAGATGCGATGGTGGGGTAGGAAATGCCACCGAAGGAACTCTGAGACCATCTGCACAGCCAGATCCAAAACCAGTGGGCACCAGCTGACCCAGAGAAAAAACCTGCACGCTTCCAGGGAGATTGGACCGATGCCATACAACCCTTGCTGGGAACATACCCTGCATCCCCACAGGTGCGCTAAAAATCACACCACCGCTGCTAAAAAGCTTGTCACCGAGCCAATACAAAACCGTGCGTGCAGCCAAGCAAAAGTGGGGTTTCTCCAAGCTGCCAGCGTGGGACTCGCTCTGCTGCCGGGAGGGGATGGGGAGGCTCAGGAGGAGCTTTGCTATGCATCGCAACGGGAGCCGTAGCAGTGCCCCTGTAACCGGCTGCGGGGAGCTGGGTGACAGAAATTCACCCCGTGCACTCTGGTCTTTCCCCTTCGGTTTCACACCATGTAGCATTTCACTGTATTACTTATTTATGAGTAATAATGTCAGAAGGTCAGAAAGGCTTTCTTGACTTTCAGCCCAGGTAGTTTGCCCATCTTGGGCACAATTCTGGATTTTGAAATATCTGTAACAATCCTACAAGTTTGGGTTAACTATATTAATTCTTGGCTATAGCAATGTGGCAATCCCGGGAGATACAAAATTTCAGGGAAAGGCACAGAAAATGGAAAGAGCAACAGAGAAACCCTTCTGATCCTGGACTTGCACAGCTTCACAGTCTCCGACTGAAGCTCTAACCGCTCCACTAAAATTTTTAAGCAAAGATTGAAAATGGACATTTGAGCTACGGCAAAGTTAAAAAAAGAAATTATTCAAGAAAAAAAGTAAAGGTGGTCTCACTAATGAAAAAGAAGTGTTAGATCACTTGTAAACTCCAACAGCTAAAAACTGAATAAAGATTACCCCTTAATTTTACACTGCCCACAAAAAGACATGTTCATCTTCTCAATTAGAAAAGAAACATCTATTTTGGCAGAGCACGAGGGCCTTACCATTGACCCCAGGTGAGTGGGAGTCTATTTTCAACATCTGGCTTTTATGCGGAGTTCACTATTTAAATAACTTCAGATGGAAAACAATGCCAGGTGGTGTATGCATCATTGCTCAACACATTCCCACTGGCAAAGGATTAAACTTGCCCTTTCTGGAGAAGAGAGTAACATATGTTGCTTAATAGAGAGCGCATGTAACCTTGTCAGCTTAGAGTAAAATTATGTATGAATCTGAGTGTGATGGGTATGTGCGAAAAGCAGGGAAAACTCAGAGCCTGTAGAAACACGTTATCCGTCCCCATCACACTGTTTCTACACGGTAAAAGTGTAAGAAAACTTGTAACCACGCACTGCA